GATGTCTTTATTGTTTTGAATTTAGTGAGAATTTAAAGTGCAACATTTAACAGCAATAAACAAGTTTTGTGTTTTTCATTGTATGTTCCCAGATCACAATGGGCCAGTTTCTTTTAGCTTTAAGAGAAAGAAGTGTTCCTGAGATAAACCTAACAAAAATGGCAGAGGACAAGGGCAGGCTCACTTACATGTTCCAAATCAGTACGCAAAGGCAAAACCTGCCTGTCTGTCTTTCATATATTCATATGTATTAGATAAAATATTTTCCTGAAAAATATTTAACCAGTTGGCTAATAATGACATATCATGACTGTATTTGTTTGTTTTAGGTGGATCAAGATATTGTAAGGCTCCTTGGTTAGGAGGAACTCAGTTCATATTTGTTGATACGGTGGCTGCATTTTTGCCAAAGACTGGTGGTATTCCTCTTCGGCTGAAGCAGGGGAGAAAGAGCAGACCTGGGGTCTGTTTCATGAAGCAGGTTTAAGCAGGTAACGGAAACTCTAAGTTGTCTAAACCTGAAAACAGGGAAACTCTGACTTTTTCGTTCCACAAAGAGAGTTTATTCAACCTCTGTTTTAGTCACCGTAGTAACATTCTCCTCGGAGCTACCTGGTTGGTAGCAGGTTTTCTTCAGTAAACTCGGAGTGTCCTCTGTCCCCGCTCTCCTTACAGCAAATCACGCTGTTTTAGTTCCTGATTTAGTTAAATATTTTGTCATAGTTTTGTGCATAAAAAATATATACATATCATTCACTAGGTCTGTTAGACCCATTAGGTTTAAAAAACAAAGACTGCATGTCAGTTGACAAAGCTGAATCAACATGAGGAGGGATGCATGATGCATGAGGTGATCCAAAGGTTCTATATATCGGAACAACGTTTTTATTTTTCATCCTCGCCTGCTGCCAGAAGATTTCACCTAAATTGATACACTGATCTGCTACCATTCAAGAAATAATCCCGTAATATTTTCATGGTAACAAATTATGGCTAGATATTAGGATATGTACTAGTTTTTACTGAATATATATTCCTGATAGCTGTAAAAAACATTTTTTCTTTTCTAAATGACACAAACAAAATAGCATTCTCCACATCTAGAATAAACATTATTGATGTCTATAAATTAATTTCAGATCTTCATATTCTTAATGTTACTGTTCATCATTTATATTTTTTAGCTATGAAAAAATGTTTTTCAGATAACATTAATACATTTTCAGTCAAGCTGATAAATGTCAGAACGGACACTTAAAGTGTTAATAGTGTAAAAATTTTTAGATGTATAAAATTTAATACTTACTGTCATGATTGAATGAATTATGTTTATGTCCACTAGGTGGCAAGCATGAGTTAACGTGAATGGATAAATGTAGAGAATGGAACAATAGAAGGAGATGTGACACACCTGTGAACAAGCTGTGTAAACAGACCTCTAAAAGATGCTTCAATAAAAGTATCTGAGCATTATACAACGTCTGGTCTTTATCAAGCACGAATACGACACTTACTATTATAATTTTCTTTTTTTTTTTTACTTTCTCCGATGATGGAGTTTGGACAGATAAAGCAGTATGGGAGTTCTTTGAACATCTAGGAAATATTGCTTAAAAGCATATTAGTGTGATTTGGCAAGTACACTGGATAATAGATATGGTTGAAGATTTGCTAATGAGAACAATTTAGAAGCTAATATTTCATTTTGTGCTTGAGCATGGCGCGGTTGAGGCTGGAGTGGGAAGTGGGATCATTAAAAATATTCTCACTGATTTCTGGAATTTGTTTTATACAAAAAAGATGTGGAACAACAACTATTGAACTTGCTCCTCCATTTCTAACAGAGGCTCTGTCACTCAGCACTTCAGGAAACAATCTAATTAAGGCCTTCTTTAATTTCATCAGTCCCACTGAGAAGGATGTGTTAAGTGACGCTCTTGACCACTTCAAAATGGCTGATAAAGAGGAATTCTCAGCATTCTCAGCAGTCCTAACTGCACGTTGCTCCCAACCAAAGAAAATCTACCAAAATTAGTAGGAACAAATAGCTCAGGAGCCAATTCTTAGATCCGTTGGAGAATCAGTGAGTTGTGATGGACGACAGTTTGGATGATCTGAAACCCAGAGCAAGAAATATTTCCAAATGTATTCAGTTCCCTGTATGCATAACAGGCACAGAAACAATCACTTGCAACCAACTCTAGAGATTCATAAGAGAAAGAGATGAGAAGGAGCTTGGCCTTTTCCTCAGATACTGTACAGGGTCTGGCTTGTTCCTGGCTAAATCCATCAACCCTTTAAAGCCCGAATAAAACACAACAGAAAATTACTTTTTTTTTGTTTGAAGTCCTTATTTGGCCTTTTAACAAAATATGTAAAAAGAAAAAACAGAAATACATTTTTTATATTAATAATTTATTACTATGCGATAGGTCAAAATTATTTTTTGCTTAGTCTTCTGTCCTCTGTTATCAGGTATATCTGATTGTGTACAATAGGATTTTGAGCAAAGTTTTTACCATTAAATTATGCAAAGGGTGTCAGACGCAAAACATTTCAGAAACCATATGTATCAAATACGATACATTTGGCATTACAGGGTTAAGGTCATGTTCCAGACATGTCTGAGTTTACAAGGCAACCTGTGGCACACACCTGTAATTCTCACTGGAACTGCTGTGTAATTACAGCAACTATGCAGATTTCAAAACAGAATTTTCTTAAAGAGCCACTTTATTCAGCATTCTCAAAAAAAAAAGAAAAATAATGGACTCCTCAAGGAACTTATTATGGTATTACAATGAACAGTAATTTTACAGGTAAACACCTTTAGTTTTCTTGGTTTATTTCTCCTTAGCTAAGCAAACAGAAAAGGTCAAACATTTCCTCCATGCTTCTCTTGTGTTCGGTAAAAACCATACGCCCACCCAGATGCATGCTGGTTTTACCATTGACAGCCATTTATAAACTTTATTCACCCAGATTGATCATAACTAACCAAAAACAAAGAAACATAACTAAATAAAAATAAAATAAATAAGAAATAATAAGAAAAATACTTTTTACTGAATGGTGTAAACTTTTTACAAGATCCCATTGCTGAGGATGGTGTTCTGATTAGCAGGACCATGGACAGTGCCTTAGTAAGTTAACAGTGTTTAAAACCATTCTGTTACTGGGTCTCTGTCCTCAAGGTGTTCCCTTATCAAAGGCCTTAGGTCTCTGTAAAGCCTTATAGCCTCTGGAGCATTATTAGCAAGTTCCATGTTTTCCTCCATCACCAACAAACAAAGCTCATGCAGGTCAGCATCACAGGAAACATCTAACTTCCACAGACAGACATCCTCTTGCAGAACACTAAAACTTTGTCATACTCTTCTAAATGCAAGAAATCTTGTGCAAGATACAGCTTAGGGACATTATACATAAAATATGGTTTTCCATAAAACAAGTCTCATTCATTTCCACCAGGTTGAATCAGGTGATCATCCCAAATTCTATTGCTTTGATGAAGTTGGCAATAAAGAGGGGTAATAAGTAGTAATTGTTTTATCATGTAAAGTAGTTACATTATTCACAAATACTTATAGCCTTATATCTATGAGTTAGTTTTTCCATCTCAAATCCATTATGAAACAAGCCTCGCTCTTGGTGGTAATTTATCATAATTGCATAAGGATGGAAAACAATTATGCAGAACAAAACAAACCATGCAGATTATATAAGACCAGTCTTTTTCTTTTGACCTAGATGTATGGGTTCCAATTACAGTAGCAAAACCAGCTACTGAGAGTAACAGTTGTTCTACATCTAAACCTATTTTTATCAAATGCAATTACAGTGACCATGGACATAATTCTTTCAAATATAGAAACCTTAAAGGATTGAAAAAAACAGAATGGGAATCATTTTATTAATCTATTTTTCGTCAAAGGTCAACACTAATTATTGCTGCACCCGTAAAATAAAAATAAGATAAAGGCTGTGTTCATTTTTTTTTTTATTCTATTGTGACTTTTTTTATATAAAAAAAAAACAATGATAAAGTACTTTCTTTTTCTTTTATTGAATAATTATCAAGCACATTCAAAATAATCATATAGTTTATTACTTTGAACTTGTGCATGTTTAAATATGAGGGTATCCTTTTCCACACAGCAGCAGGTCTTTTTCCTACCACCTTTTTCCCACCATCTAAGCTTTTGTGGTGCTGAAAGATACACAATAGAGACCAAAAATTGAATAGAATTGAATAGAGAAGATTATCGGGGCTCCTCTTCCCTCCATAAAAGACATTTCATCCCAGCACTGCGTGGCCCGAGCCCATAACGTCATAAATGACCACAAACACCTCCACCATGTTCTCTTTTCTCCCTGCTGCCCTCTGAGCAGAAGCTTCGAAGCATTCAATGCAGGTCCAGCAGATTCCACAGCAGTTTCTTCCCCACTGCCATTGGACCGCTGAATGTTTTGTAGAATGGGTTATTGTATTGTATTATTATATTTAATCATTATTTATATATATATATATATATATATATATATATATAAATATATATAATATATATAAATTTTTACAACGGTAAATTTACAGCCATTTTTACGATTTTTCAAGGCTGCACCTTTAAAAGATGAAATTGTCCAGTGAGTTGTTTCCAAATGAAATTTATTTTTGCTTTACAATTGTGTAAACAAAATGACAAATAAAATCTGTCTAAAATTTTGGCCATTTGAAAAACGATCTCACAACATGTGTTTAGTCATACTCACTTTGGTTTTCAGTAATCACATACACATCAATGGTTAATTGACTGTTTCATTTAAAGGTTTATATCTTCCAAAATGCACCCATATTAATTTGTGTCATTATCAATAATAGGCCACTTTTCACGTTTAAACTCCACACATGTAAGTGCACTTTGTTAGTTTATCTCATGTATAATCCATATCACATTGTAATGCTACATTATTATTTCATTTTCAATTAACCACAGGGGGGAATGTGGAAGATATATTATTTGTGGTCATTTAGACACCATGTAAACACTGTGTTTCAGTAAGAAGCCCTTTTCTATACTTGGTAGGATGCCGAGAAGATAGAGGACAGAATGTTTAGACAGGAAACACTCACACACACCGAACAACGGTAGCTGCATGGAGAGCAGAGGTGAAGAGAACAGTTTCTGCATCAGAACTCTTGGCAAAAAACATGTTTTTTCCTCTGTTAGGTATCTAGAACACAAGATCAGCATTCAACACGGATTTCCACACAGACTTCTACATGCACATGAGGCTGTCATGCACACACACAATAAAAATAGCCTAGGCCAAAACAGACACACATCCATTCCAATTAGTTTCCACACAGCCCATGAGGCAACGCACTCCACTGTGCAGGGACATCCACACCATGTTACAATATGTATAAATACAACCGAGATGGGTGCGGTATCTTTGCACAGCACAGTTAGTGTTGGAAGGATTTGATATTGGACTCGACTTAATGATGACAGCCATGGCGGCCCCTAGTGGCAACCATCAAGTAGTCTATAAAATTAGAAAAACCACTGCTCAACCCATTTCATTTGTATACTATGCAGAACCATAAACAACTTAGACAACATACCGGTATGTGTATAAATATGTGAGTAGGGATATTAGCGAATGCTTTATTAAAACCTAGTCTGCCTTTATATAGTGCTGTTGTTATAGTATGATTAGTGTAGAGTGACCCTAAACTGCTTTGTTGTTTTTGGTGCACATCGGTCCCTGCCTTTAAATATTCTGGCTCCACCACTGTCGATAAAGAGAAATTTGAAAAGAATGCAGTTTTTAAAACTTAATCTGAAAAATATATATGTTAATTGGTGCTATATAAATAAACTTTAAATTAATATATCCTCTGGAAAAAAAGTTTTCCGAAGTTTTGTTATGTGATTGCTTTTTTTTTGTTATGTTTTTAGAGCTTGCTCTAACCTGCATGCGGAACACTCACAGGAGGTAGTTAAGATTTAAAGGTTTTATTGAAAAACAATGAAGATGAGGTGAAGCGCTGGGGTCCCAGAGTGTTATGGCAGAGGAGTTAGCGTCTAATCCGGAGGTCAGGTTTGGTTAGGATGGTGGAGCACATGGAGGAGGACCAGCCGGAACAGCTGTGTGGTGTTTACAGTGAAAGGATGAGCAGGTTTCAAGGTAGATCTTTCCAGGAGACCGCCTGGGAAAAAAAGAACCAAGAGGATCCAAAGAGGCTTGGAAGTTTGACAGGAGACAGAGGCTTGTAAGGAACATCCACAAACATAAGGAAAAATGGGGTGCAGAAAAAACACAAGTTAAGGTCCAATGGTTAGACCTGAAAGAGGTAAAAACAGGATCTAAATCCTGCTATATAAATACACTGAATTGAATTAGCCACAACAGTAGGTTACTTATTTCATCCTATGCCCTGACCAGAAATGATCTCTCCTCTGTGTTACTTTGTTGTGCAGGGCGGCTCTGAACACCAAATTAAATATGCCTAACCCTGATTCTGAACTTGTTCTGTGTGAGCAGATGCTATGTGTTTTGATCCAGACATACACAATCAACCAGACCACATTGAAAACACAAGTGGTTGTTTTAAGGACCAAAGCCTATTTGATATAGAACTTTGGTTACATATTGCAGTCAAACCAGAGAAAAGTATGAAGGTTATTTTGTTTCAAAACTATTTGTGCGTTGTAAGTGTGAATTTGAAGTTGTAGAGGGACTTACATTCTAAGTTTTGAATGTTTAGAATAAAAAAAAAATCACAAGTACAACATTTTTTTACACCTGTCAAAATTTTAAGTACAAGTACTGTACACAAATTCTGTTCTACAAGTCGCACATCAAAAACTTCTTAATTTCTCAGTTTTGCTTCAGGTGGTTCAGAACTATTGTTGCAAAATTATTAGTGCATTGTAACTTTGGTGTTTTGTAATTGTGGATTTTTTTTAATCTGACAAAATTACAAAAAAAAGTTACACCTTTTCAAATTCTTGAGTACAAGTACATAAATTGTATTCTGTGAGTTGCACATGAAAAATGTCTTCCATTCAGTTCTTACAGTTGACCTAAAACAAATGGTGAAAAACAACTTTAAACACTATTAAAATCTTCAAAAAGATATACATATACATTTTTTTTTCTTAACACAAATACAAATAAATGAATAAAACTGTACGAGTCTGCTCCTGTGAGTCACAAATTCAATTTTGCATGTTACGATGATTAGTCAGCAGGGGGCGCTACTTCTCCGTAAGTCTGAACCAACCGGAACTGCCATGTTGCCTTCCAAGGAACCAGCCCACGTATGCTATCACTGGTTGGTTCGAATTTAAGGCTGGACTGGATCCTTTGAAGTCGAAAATTGGACGCACCAGTACACATATTGAGAAATGGCCAAGTGTACCAAAATAAAAAAATTATATTAAAAAAAGAACATAATCACCTTATATGTGTAATATATTCTAGATTGGACTTGCAATGGAAACCGTTGCTTTCCAAGGGACAAAAAAAAAAAGAAAAAAAAATCATAATTGTTATTTAAACATGAAATTAAAAAATTATTAAACTTACAGACTGAATACATACATAACAAATACACTATTTCTGGCTAGTTCATTAAAGTTAAATTTACTTTTTTGTTTTTACCTTTAAATAGAAAATGTATTTATTTTTTTTCTGGGGAAAAAATCCACATCTTTGGTAAATGTTACCTTTTCAATGAAGAACTGCAGATCACAGAAGATTGCAAATGAATCCATAGTACTGTTGGAGTGCACAGTTAAGTACAGAGAAAATCAAATACTTCTGAACAATCAAAACAAACTTAAATGTATATAATGTGTGACATTTGCGCATGCTCAGAGCAGCTAAAGTAATGATTGAAAGGTGATTTAACATATGCAATATTTAAGCAAATACAAGGATATCCAAAAAGAAACCCCAACCCCCCAAAAAGACAACTGAATAAAAAAGTAAGAAATATTGCCTAACCGAAAGTTATTCTATTCACATAGACAAATGAGCTGATGGAATCAATGGTGCTACATTGCTTAACTACATTTGCTTAACTAAGTATATTTTGTGGTTGAATATAAGAGATTTTGCTTAATAATGATAGGAAAATGCACCTCTTGGTTAACTTGATTATTCTAATTGCAAAATTTCACATACACAAAACCAAATTTTCCAAAGGTCGACCTTTCTTCCCTATGTTTGAAAATGATTTTAAAAATTACTTCAATTGTATCCATAGAATCAACAATAAAAAATGTATACACACTGTTAACATAATTCAGGAACTATCTGGAGAAATGTAATATATCTTGCCCTTTTGTTTGTTTGTTTGTTGTTGTTTAAATCTCTTCCGTTATTTATTTAAGTTAAATTATGTTATATCTTAATTCTAATTGTACTCCATCATTGAACACTTATTTTGGAGATACTGTTCTATATCTTGTGATATTGTTTGTCAATGTTTTGTAATTTGCAACTTTTCAATAAAGTTTTGGACTGAAAAAAAACAACTAATTGATTTGATTTGTGTTAAGGAAAAAAAATTTTTTTTTGTTGTTGAAGATTTTAACACAAGTGTTTGAATTTGTTTTGCACCATTTGTTTTAGATCAATTAATTAGAATTAATTAAAATTAGACATTTTTGATGCGCAACTCACAGAACACAATTTGTGTACTAGTACACAAGAATTTCAAGAGGTGTAACTTTATTTGTAATTGTTTCAGATAAAAAAAAAAATCTACAAAACACCAAAGTAACAATGCACAAGTAGTTTTGCAACAATAGTTCTGAACCATTTGAAGCAAAACTGAGAATGTAAGAGGTTTTTGATGTGCAACTTTTAGAACAGAATTTGTGTACTTGTACTTAAAATTTGAACATGTGTCAAAACAAATGTGTACTTGCTAATTTCTTTTTTTAATTCTACACATTCAAAACTTAGAATGTAACTCTCTCCACAACTTCCAATTCACACTTACAATGCACAAATAGTTTGGAAACAAAATAACCATCATAGAAAAGGCGCAGCCCTGAAAGCTCCTGCTAGGAGGAAGAAAAAACGGGTGATTTTGTTGTCGATTATTGAATACCAGCATTATTATACTTGATGCAAGCACCATGAGTCAGGACGCAGGGGTTTTCAGATTATTTTTTTAGTGCTGTGTTTAGTGCTGCGCAGTGGGCCTACCTGTCGGAATAGGGCAAGTCTCTGGATACAGATTCTACAAAGCACCTTTTTTAAAGAATGAATAAGATAGATATTCCGTCAAAGTTTTAAAAAACAATCCATTGGACTTGGTTTCCAAGATTGTAAGACATTACGCTACCTCTCCAGGAAGCTTTCTCTATTCAAATGCAGTGAGTTGAGTCTTTATATAGACAAGGCCTTATATTGCTTGGAAACATGCAAATATAAACCGACGAGTAGAGGCGTCCTGGAGGGGAAGCGAAACGTCTTTAAATCTTGGAAACCAAGTCCATTGGATTATTTTTTTAAACTTTTACAGAATGACTATGACCTGGATGACTGAGAATCTTCATCAGCAAAAAGATAGTTATGTTTAAGGGAAAAGAAATGCTAGCTATTGTGATTAAAATAGCGCAACAATTTTATTGTTTGTCAAAAATAAATGTATGTGTGCCCTCTCTAGCTATTTTAATGTTAAACGATGCCACAATGTTATGCTCATTACTTAGTCCAAATCAATATTTGCTGTACACACAGTAGGCTTAATCCATTCTTGATGCAAGATGTTGTTTTGCAAAGTATTTCTAGGGATATGGTAATAATAAGTATTCATATAGATACTTTAGCAAAAAAAAAAAAAACATGGTTTAGATTTTTACCAACTTGTGTACTGTAATTACTCACCAGCTTTTGTAGCAAAAATTCATCAGACACAGCCGACATTTTCGTTTACAGCCAATGTTGCTCTGCATCCCTCATCATCCTTCTTCTGGCTGTGGAAAAAATAGGCTTTATATTTTCTAAATTTTCTTGCTCTTACATTCAAATAATCCTAACCCGTATGACATATTTAATTTTAAAAAATGCTTTCTTTTTTTCCTTAAAGTTGGAAAATATAACAAACATACCTCACCACAAAATCTGGTAAAGCTTTCAGCTTCACCATTGCTGTCTACAACAACTTCTCTGTTGTCAGATCAGAGTTCTGTCTAATGTACTTTTCTGCTGAGCGATTGTTCAGTTGGTGTCGCAAATTCTATCTAAGGTAAGTCCTTTTCTTGCAGGTGGAGTGACTTTCGTCTTGTACTCCACAGAGTAAGGAAAATAGGCCACCACACACCTTTGCTGCTTTCAGTCACCTGACATTTGATACAACACCACACCCTTGGAAGCAAGACACACAGACATGACGTGAAAGAGGCAAATCTTGACAAAGCAAAGTCAGTGAGGATGAGTACAAGAGAAAGTATAATAAAGAATAGCATCAGAAGCGAAAGGGAAGGTTTACACTCTCTGTTCAGCAGCCACGTTTTCAGTAAAAAGCTATGTTGAAAATACTCTGGAAAAAAATATAATCTATTCTAGTCAGCAAAATTCAGGGGCAGCAAGTTGAATTTATTTCCTGAAGAGAGACTGTTGTACTGTTCCAGGTTTAATGAGGAGTCACAGAAAAAATAAATAATTCTCTGATCATCCAACCATTAAAAACCCTATACACCAAGTACCACCAAAAAAGAATATTTCTTGTGACTAATACTCTAACATGTATAATTTTGAATGTGCCTTTGAGATTGTGGTGCGCAGGAGTTAAAGAAATCCCCCCTCCCAAAAAATATGTCTTTTTACTGCTTAAGAAAAAGACAAGTTGTAAAAGCACCTGAAGATACACTTGGTCACTGTTTGTAAACCAGAGATCGTTAGTATATTGTTGATAGATGAGCAGGTTGAAGATCACCATCAGACGTGATGGCTCTTTAAGCATCAAATTTCACATACCTGTATTTATAGCAAAGAGGCGGGTTGCAACGAGTTGGATGCATGAGGTGTTTGCAAAGAGGCGGAGCTGCGCGAGGTGGTTGTACAAGGAGGTTACAAAGAGGCGGAGCTGCGCGAGGTGGATGTAGGAGATGGTTGCAAAGAGGCTGATCTGCGCCAGGTGGGTGTAGGAGGTGTTTTCAAAGAGGCGGATCTTGCGCGAGATGGATGTAGGAGTTGTTTTCAAAGAGGCAGATCTTGCGCGAGATGGATGTAGGAGGTGTTTTCAAAGAGGCAGATCTTGCGCGAGATGGATGTAGGAGGTGTTTTCAAAGAGGCAGATCTTGCACGAGATGGATGTAGGAGGTGTTTGCAAAGAGGCGGCTCTTGCGCGAGGTGGATGTAGGAAGTGTTTTTTAAATAGGCGGATCTTGCGCGAGATGGATGTAGGAGGTGGTTCCAAAGAGGCGGCTCCTGCGCGAGGTGGATGTAGGAGGTGGTTCCAAAGAGGCGGCTCCTGCGCGAGGTGGATGTAGGAGGGGTTCCAAAGAGGCGGCTCCTGCGCCAGGTGGATGCACTATAAGTAAAGGCGTCCATCCAACACCAAGGACAGATTACTACCTGCAACAGCTGATACCTGTCACCATTGTACTGGCAGTTGGAGAACGTCGGTCTACTATGGACGGAAACAGAGGAACAGTCTCTATGAATGAACCACAGCACATTGAAATGAGCCTGATGCGGTTTGGGTTCTTGTTCCAGCTCCGCTTCAGCTACCAAGACTCTCAACGGCTTGCCATCACCTTCAACATTCTCCGCATCATGCAGAGCAGCAGCAGACAGAGGCTGACTGGGATCTTTCAGTTGAAGTTACAGATAAACATGAACCTGGCTCTGAGGAGCAGAGAATGAGCACCATCGGACATTGGGCTGCAGCTTGGTTGCAAGACTGTGTCAGATTCTCAGATCTGTGTACAAATAACATCTGTTCGTTTTGGTACAACTGAATCATTAAAAAGATCTGAAACATAAAGTTTGTCTCTTTAATAGATATTGTTCCTCTACCCACATGTTCTGTGCCCTGGTGGAGAATGAGTCATTGCTCCACCAGGGCACATATAAAGGATTGTCACAACTGTAGAGGTCACTTAAACTGATATTTCGGCTCTCTAGAGAGCATGTGAAGGACCTTTAGCAAGCATCCTGGCCCTGGAGAGGGCTACTAAGATTGTGATATGGCTTCCAAAGTGGCACTATAGCAGGTGTTATATAACATCCGGGCCACAAGGGAAGTTGACTAACAACACCCCCCTGTCTAGCGTACTTTTCTGCTGAGCGATTGTTCAGTTGGTGTCACAAATACTATCTAAGGTAAGTCCTCTTCTTGCAGGTGGAGTGACTTTCTTCTTGTACTCCATAGAGTAAGGAAAATAGGCCACCACACACCTTTGCTGCTTTCAGTCACCTGACATTTGATACAACACCACACCCTTGGAAGCAAGACACACAGACA